AGGGAAGCAAACAAAAATTGATGAGAATGATCCTTACAAAAAAGAAATGAGAGCTCGGGCAGTGCAAATATTTGCAAGGTGGATGTATGATGCTGGTATCCATTTTAATGCAGTAAATTATGAGAGTTTTGGACCAATGATTGAAGCCATTGGGCAATATGCTCCTGGTATGAAGCTACAAACTTACTATGAAGTGTGGGTTACCCAACTCAAAAAAAATGTGAAACATACTGTAGATTTGATGAAGAATCATAAAGAGGACTGTGCAAAATATGGGTGTTCCGTAATTGCTGATGGTTTGACTGATAAGAGAGGGAGGACATTGATTAACTTTTTAGTGAATTGTCCAAGAGGAACCATGTTTGTTGAGTCAGTTGATACTTCTAGCTATTCAAAGGATGGACAGAAGCTATTTGAATTACTAGACAAGTTTGTGGAGAAAGTTGGAAAAGAGAATGTGGTGCAAGTTATCACTGATAATGCTGTAGCTAATGTGTTGGCGGGTAAGAATCTTTCCTCCTTCCTTACTTCAAAATTGTTTACTCATAGTTTGTTTTGTAGTTAAAATTTAAAAACTCGAAAATAATAATTTTCTGTTACATTATAGGGAGGTTTTTGGAAGCCAAGTATGAAAACTTGTATTGGACACCATTTGCTGCTCATTGCTTGGACTTGATGTTAGAAGACATTTTCAAGATACCCCGACTGAAAAAGACATTTGAAAGGGGTATTACAGTACATGGCTACATTTATAACCGCCATACTTTGCTAAACATGATGAGGCGCTATACAAATCTCAAGAATTTGATCAAGCCTGCAAAAACTAGATTTGTAACCTCCTTTCTAACTTTGTCTAAGATGCATCAACAAAAAAACAATTTAAGAAAGATGGTCACCTCTGAAGACTGGACCTTAAGCAAATGGGCAAAGGAGCCACAAGGTAAAAGAATGGCACAAACTTTGTTGATGCCTTCATTTTGGAATAATGTTGTGTTTGCCCTTAAGGTCTCGGGTCCTCTCGTCAAAGTGCTTAGATTGGTTGATACTGAGAAGAAACCTCCCATGGGATCTATTCATGAGGCAATGGATAGGGCAAAAGAATGCATTGCAAGTTCGTTTGATCATAAAGAAAAGAAATATAACGAAATCTTCGAAATCATTGACAAAAGGTGGGATATCCAATTGCATCGGCCTTTACATGCAGCTGTGCACTTTCTTAATCCATAATTCTTTTATCCAAAAGCGTTAGAGGTGCAAAAAGATCATGAAGTGATGGAATGGGTTTTATGAATGCATGCAAAGGTTGGTCTTAGATGTCGCTGTTCAAGATTTGATTACTAATGAGATGAGTATTTATACGAAGGTTGAAAGCCTTTTTGGCAAGCCTATTGCGATTAGGCAAAGAAATACAAGGGCAAGATATTATAGACTATTTTTAGTAATACTTTTAGTCAAACTCAATACGTGGTAACAATTATTTGTAACTAGTGGTTATTGCAGCTGATTGGTGGGCATCATATGGTTCTAAAACCCCAAATTTGCATATTTGTGCCATAAAAGTCCTTAACCCAACATGTAATACATCGGGTTGTGAACGAAATTGGAGTGTATTTGAACATATGAGTATTTAACATTCTAACTAATTTTTGGTGAATTCAAATATTTTTTATTCTCATTATATAGAATTTAATATCTTTTTAATACTTGTAGCTTCATAACAAGAAAAGAAATAGATTGGAACACCAACGTCTCAATGATTTAGTGTTTGTCAAATATAATAGAACATTGAGATCTAGCTATGACATGCGTAACACTCTTGATTCCATATCTTTGCGAAATGTTGATGAAAGTAATGAGTGGTTGCTTGGGAGGATGGATGGAGAATCAGATGAAGATAATGAGCCAGTATTTGATGATGATGATGGTTTGATGTGGGTGACTGTTGCTAGAGCTTTTGGATTAGAATAAAGTAGTCATGCAAGTAGAGCAACAAGTTCATGCTGAAAGGTACTGAGGATATCTAAATCATCAAGATTGACTCCACTTCAATTAATAGATGAAGAGGAGGCGGGCTCAAATGACACAGAGGAGGAAGATGTTGAGGGATATAAATCAATTGATAGAGAAGAAGATGATGGTTTGCTTGCCATTGATGTTGAGGATGACGATTGGCTGACCTGACCTAACCTAACCCAACTTTTCTTATGACATTGATGTTTTGAAATGTCAAGACTTATATTAGTATTTGTTGGATATTCATGTTTTGGATGTTTAGTGTTTATTTGTTTTTTTTTTTTTTTTTTTTTTTTTTTTTTTTTTTTGAATGTGGATTATTTTATCTTTGAAAATTGGAATACTATGTAATATGCACTTTTCATGGCTTTGAGAATTATTCTATTATTTACCTTGATTACTTTTTATCTTAAAAAAAATTGTCTTAGTACTATAAGTGATTACTTTATGTTAATTTATCTATTTTTTATTGAGACTGTGCGCCTTGCTTCAATAAAACCAACGCCTCGCCTTGCGCCTAAGCCCCAAGAGACCTTTAGCGCCTTTGTGCGTCTTGAGCCTTTAAAAACGCTGAGACAGATCACACTTTGTTTGTGAAATATTCCTCACGTGGTAAGACTACAGCTCTTATTGTTTATGTGGATGACATAGTGCTTACAGGCGATGATAGTGAGGAAATACTCCTGTTGAAGAAATATTTAGCTAATGAGTTTGAAATCAAAGACTTGGGGAACTTGAAGTATTTTTTGAGAATTGAAGTTGCTCGCTTTAAGGATGGAATTTTCATCTCACAAAGGAAGTATGTTCTTGACCTTTTAAAGGAAACACGGATGCTTGGATGTAAGGCCTGTGATACCCCACTGTAACCTAATCCGAAATTTGGTGATGATGAAGGAGGCAAAGCTGTCGACAGGGGGAGTTATCAGTGACTAGTGGGTAAGCTCATTTACTTATCTCACTCTCGTCCTAATATTGCTATTACTGTCAGTATGGTTAGCCAGTTTATGCATGCTCATCGTCAAATTCACTTAGAGGCTGTTATAAGAGTTCTGAGGTAATTGAAATCTTCTCTTAGAAATGGTCTTTACTTTTCCAAACATAATCACCTCAGAGTGGAAGCCTATACAGATGCTGATTGGGCAGGGTCAATAACTAATAAGAGATCTACATTAGGATATTGTACCTTTGTGGGCAGCAATCTTGTTACTTAGAGGAGTAAGAAACAGAATGTGGTGACTAGATCAAGTGTAAAAGTTGAGTTTAGAACTATGGCACAAGATGTATGTGAACTCTTGTGGATCAAACTGTTGTTGAGTGATCTAGGGATGGGCGAAACAGACTCTATGCGGCTATATTGTGATAATAAGGCTACCAGCAACGTAGCTCACAATCCTGTTCAACATGACAGGACAAAACATATTGAGATTGATCGCCACTTCGTCAAGGAGAAACTCACTAGCGGCATGATATGTACTTTTTTTGTGAAGTCAGGCAAACAACTTGCAGATATCTTCACCAACGGAATTGGGAGTAAACCATTTCATTACATTCTAGATAAGCTGGGCATGCAAGATATCTTCGCACCAAATTGAGAAGAAGTATTAGAATATTTCCTTGTTTCCTTGTTTAGATTAGATTGTAATTGATTGATTGTGATTACTTAATCAGTTAGTCAATCAATCAATATAAAATGTGATTCCTCAATCAGTGCTTTAGGGCTTCCTTTTGTAACAGTTGATTGATTAATATAAAAGGTGATAATATCATAATCATCACCCGAGCTTTGTATTCTCTTAAATTACACTTCCCTTCTTCTTTTTGATGAGAAGATAAACTCTTTGTGAAACAGTAAAGGAATGGCGCACAGATGCTACAGATGATATCAGCTAAAAACTTTGGTGCTTCTCTCAACCATTTGCTAGTATCTTAGACTTTTGGACCATACTTGATCTGAAAACCATTGTCCTAGTTGCTAATTTCATGCACATGATTGAAGCGTCAAATCCTATATTTAAAGCTGTCTCCCTTGCCTTGTCTAGAAATGCTCGTCTCCTTGCATTCACAAAATTGAACCCTTCATGAGAACAAATAGACTGTTTAAACATATCTTGAGACTTGTCAGTTGCTCTTTTTGAAAGGCTGCTGCCTCATTATGATCCATTTTCAAGATAACTGGACAAATATTGACTAGTTAACATCATAGAAGCGATCAAATATTTCTTATTGCTTTCAAGTTTCAGCTACCACCTGTGCCCAAGCCTTATTTGACCTCAAAACTTCCATCGACTTTAGTAATTAACACTTGCATGATGAGGGTTCCAATTGTCTATGAGCTGCCTACCACTCTTTGTCATCTAATATTGGGCATTATGAAAATTCTTTCACATGTTTCAAGGGATTGGTGTAGACCTTATTTCTTAAACACATATACATTTCTCTTCTTCCAAATGGAGATTTCTTAATGTATCTTTTTCATCCTTTTGTGATACTTTATGTCTGCCTGTGAAACAAAGTAGCCTAACTGCTTGTATCAGTTTTAACTCAGAGAGGCTGCGACCACTCTCATTTAGCAATGGCACTAAGCTTTATTACACGAGTGAGGTCTCCATTTGTGAAAAAATCATCACTAATAAATTTTCATTATCAGATGTAAATTTATCTAAAATTTGATGTCAATGTTGATAGTATCAGCAACGTGAGACAAAAGCCTGAGTAATTAGATGCTTACTGCACTCTCATGTGTTGTCGTTTATCAGTTTATGAACTTGGCTCTGAGTTGAATACTTGCTCGTGCGTTCAGTATGAAGAAGGGCTCTTCCATATCTTCACAGACCTTGATTTCCAAATGGCCAGAAATTTTAATAATGTTCAATTGTTTGTATGTGTTATAGGTCAGTCATTTTGCTGAAGAGCGAAGGTAGTAAAGGGCACTATTCATCTTTATGAAGCCTGACGTGTTTGGTTTCTTCTTCTTATTTTTTCATTAGATTCCAAGAGGCTGAGGATGACTGCACGGAGGCCTTAAATTTAGATGATCGTTACATCAAAGCCTATTCACGTCGATCAACAGCTAGAAAAGAACTTGGAAAACTAAAAGAATCAATTGAGGGTATTTAATTCCTTCAAATATTTGTTTTGTTGAAATTATTGATTAACTGAATCCTTTCTGATCATTTAGTATTTCTGATTTGATAAGTATAGCTTACTGCAGATGCTGAGTTTGCCCTGAGGCTGGAGCCTCACAACCAGGAGATCAAAAAGCAGTACGCTGAAACCAAATCTTTGTATGAGAAGGTAAAAACTTCACCACTCCCAGACGTATGTTGCTTCTAAATTTTAGCTTAGAACCTACTTTGGGCTCATCATGATAATCTTAATGTGTGTCTGGCGATTGTAAATGCCCATGGCTTGAGATGTTGTCTATACACTGGCTAACTGGAACTTTGGTGGATCTATGAAACCATGACGAGGAAATAGGTGCATTGCCTGTATGAATCGCGTTACCATTCAGTTCTTTTTATATAGGTTTTTCTCACTTCACGGAGCTGGATATTTGGACTTCAATCCACAATTTTAATTTGGGAGTGGAGCTCAGTATAATAATATATTTTTTAGTCAAGCTGGATGCAGCAATAAGTGCAATGGGGTGGAGCTCCACAGGTTTAACAACTATCATAGCTTGAATTCCCACCTACCGACCAGCCTTTTCTAGATACCATCGTGTTATATGGCATGGCATGTAGTGCCTCTTGTTTTTTCCCTTCTTCTTCTTCCTCCAAACCAACCAACCCCCTTAATCAGTTAGTCAATCAATCAATATAAAATGTGATTCCTCAATCAGTGCTTTAGGGCTTCCCGTGGTTCTCTCTCTAATTCTGACTAAAGTTTATTGTGTTCACAATACTTTTTTAAGTTTCAGGGTTATGTTTCACTATATTGGGGTAGCTGGAAAATTGAACATCAAGTGTAAATTTAAGTACTTCATGAATGATTCAATTTCTGATATTTTATATATACAAAATATTTTCAAATTACTAAGTTCTCTTTATAATGGTTTTGCTAGTGTTCAATGTAAAATTATACGAGTTCTATGGTGTTTGTTGTGCTGAAAAAATTGGTAATATGTGAATATTCTTGCTTGGATGTTTGTGGTGTTTGTTGTGCTGAAAAAAATGGTAATATTTGATATCCTTGCTTGCCTGTTTGGAACCATAAGTATACCGTCTTTGCAATGACCAGCTTGGAAATGCATATGGTGTTATTCCCTTGTTGATATGAGGTTTATCAATTCAATGGACAGAGAGTTTAAATGTCTTGCCGTTTTATACCTGGATGGTAGAGTTTACAGAAGATATGAAAAAAAGTGGGATTTAACAGAAGCTAAGCTTTAATCTGCTCCATAAATGTGGGGAGCTGATGCTGTGTGGCTTCTTTTAGAATGAATAAGATGCTCTGTGTTTCTTCTCTGATTTTTCTCTCCCTGGTCTGTCACTAAGCTACCTAGCAAAAGGATAACTGTATGTGTTTTATGTTACTGCTATTGTAATTTGCACTCATTCAACTCCTTAGCAGTCACTCAAAACTAACTTTTACAGGAGATACTGAATAAGGCATCTGGAGCATTGAGAAGCTCTATGCAGAAAGTGGGAAAGTCAAAGGTGGAAGTGAACAAACATGTTGGGGCTGTACAATCTGTATCAAGAAGTTCGCAGAAAATTGTAACAGCTGCAATTCAAGAAGATCATAACAAGGTATAAATTACAATTGTTTTGTCTTTACTTTGTGATCACTCTAAATAGTTTACTTATGATTTGCTTATTGTTGGAAAGGCTAAAAAGAAGGAGCAGGACCTGCCATTCTATGAGAAACTTATTCCTATGTTTAATGTATTCCCAAGGAGCAGGACCTGCCATTCTAACCCCTCTTGGGGACGATATTCATAAATGCAAAGTTTATACCTGGCTGATGTTGTTTATCATCCTATAAATCAGTTGATTTGGTAATTGTAATAAAAATTATTGCAAATGGAAAAGAATAGTGATTGGATCGTGTTTCTTTGGCAAATCTACAGTAGAAAACAAGGTTCCATTGTAACAGTCAAATATAATTTACTGAAAAAATCGGATAATGTTAGAGCTTGCCAGGAAATACTTCTAGCAGATCCAATGAAGGACTCCTTACATTTTCAAAATTACATTTTAGCCTAAAATTTTGAAAATGTCTTTCAATTTGCCCCCTCTAAAATTATATATATACCGCCTGAAGGTTGTTTGTTATCTTTCTCTCTTATCTTTTTCAACCCTATAATTTGCCTATTCAATTTTATTTTTACAATACATTTCCTTTATATATATATGCATACCACATTATATATATATATATATATATTTATATGTTGTAATAAAGTTTTTTTCATATCTGCTTAACTAAAATATGACTTTTTTATTGCCTTTTGGCTCATTTGAGATGTTAAAACTTAAAATTATTGAGATTTTGTAAAACAATAGATTGGTTGTTTGAATGACGAGGATAATTTTTTTCCTATTCTTCTTCCAACAAATTTAGCTCCCCATTAACTAGAAAATGGGCATAGGTTGAATCCCTATTTGCTTCTCGAAGAAATCTAAGAAAACATCTCCTTTTGTTATGTGTATTTTATTGGTATTTTCTATTTTTATTATTGCGATGTGTATGATATTGGAATTCTTTTGAAATATTCTAAGGCTGCATTTGGATATATGGATTTGAAATGAAGGGATTTGATGTTCAACTTCATAAAATTGTAAGAAGGTTGATTATGGATGTATAGATTGATAATTCTTAAGTAAGGGATGCATAGAGATAGGAAAGATGCTTTTTGTTAATAATTTTATACAAGTAGAATCATTCATGGAAGGATTTCAAATAACCATGTTCACTTAGTTATTTCAAATCCATTAATCTAAAACTCTCAAATCCGTTCTTGAAATCTGTAACCAGAATATTATAGTGAAATAGATGTTATACTCCTTAGTGTTACCGAATGCATTCATTTGAAATCCATGTATCCAAATGGAGCCCAAGTGTTCTGTACCAAACCAACCTTGTTCTATAATTTGGCTTGGTGTTGTCCCTCCATCAGCCAAAATATTGGCTCCACAGGAGGTACAGTACTTAATCTTGAAGATGCTATGTATGATACCCTTGCAGCTTACTCATTGGGGTTAAAAATCCCAAGATTACCTTTTAGTGCATCTGTTATTTGAATGCATGAGGCTACCTGATTTCTTGGATTAATTGCTTGCAATGTACTTGAGAAGAGAACAGGGTGGTAAATGGAAATCATGAGATGATGAGAACAATGGAGTTTTCATGTTGATGTGTTTCCCTTAGCATTTGAAGTTGTAAAAACTTCTTGAGTATACTGTTTGTTGCCACAATTTTATTTCTGAACTTCCAAATACTGTTGGCAGGACAGTGATGGACAAGTTCCTGCAAAGACATCTATGTCTGTCGAGGAAATAGAAAACAAAAGTATGAGAAGTAAAGGACAAGAAGCAAATGCCTCTTGTGAAGATGGTGTGCAGAGTTCTGGTTTGGAGAGCTCTAAGGTCTTATATTTAGATCCTTGCTTAATTACAGAAGTTTGTCTTCTATTTGATTCAAGAAGGATGCAAAATTGGTACTTGTGTCTGCAAATTTTTTTAAAATCCCCTTACTTTTCTATCCCTTTCTTCTCCCTGGTAGGCAATGAATGTGAAGAATGTTTAGGTTCTAACAGATTTAACAATGTCCATAAGTAGAATACTACAATTCTCCTCCACTGAGTTAAAATTAGAGAAAATCATTTTATTCCTGGATGCCTTCTTGTTTCCATCCCATGTTTTCTTTAAGGGTTAGCAAGAGCCCTTGTAACCACAGCTGCTAACTATGTATGTTTTCCTTTTTCCTTAATATTATTTTTGTTTCACTTCTATTGTTGTGGCTAAGATAACAATTGTTGTTTTACTTCTATTGCTATGCTCGTTATCTTAGCAAATGAAATATATTGTGAAACAGATAATAGAGGATGACTGCTAAAACTGATTACTTGCAATTTGGAAATAACCATATTTACCAAGGACTTAATATGAATGGTCATCCCTCCTTGCCTAAATATGGAACTGCAAATAATAAAAACTAAGTTTGTCCATTATCATTTTCAAGTGGCTGTAATTCGTGATGTCTGAAATATATTTTATGTCACTACAAATTTAATTAATAAATTTTTTACTACCGGCAAGTTAGAGATCCAAATAGCTTTTATATTACCGGGGAGGAATGTTTTCAACGTGAACAAGTGTAAGAATACTCCATATAAGTTATAATATGCTGTTGTATGGCATTCCATGAAATTTTTTATGCTGAGGTTGCTCCCATTTCATCTTTTGGCAAGTTCTCTCTCTGTTTTCTTGTTTGACACTGTTCCTTGTTATAATTCTTCATAGAAAAATCACAAAAAGCAAGAGCTCAAAGCATCAGTGCAGGAGCTTGCTGCTCGAGCAGCTTCTCTTGCCAAGGCTGAAGTTGCAAAAAACATCACACCACCAAATTCAGCTTATCAGTTTGAGGTTTCTTGGCGAGGACTTGCTGGTGATCGTACTCTACAAGCTCGTTTGTTGAAGGTCTGCAATGATGATCTTACTTTGCAAGCTTGTACATATTGCTTTTTTCTCATATTCAACTCAAGCACATAGCTGGTGAAGGTGCCAGCTAGCTTAGCTAGAAAGTCTCTTGTTGTTTACTTTTTTTTTTTTCCTTAAAAAAAAGGTCTTTTGGTGTGATGACAAAAACTTGGGATCGAATCCCACATTTGCCTAGGGGGAGGGCTACCCGCATTGTGTAGCTATCACCTTCGAACCAGAAACAACTACATATCTTGTAATTTGAGAATGCAAAGTATCCGATTTGCATATCTGTTGACAATTTATTTATTTTGTCCCCTCAGTTTGATGAACTTCTGATTGGCCCACCTGACTATTCGTTTTTGCATGATTAGGTGACATCACCAGTTGCACTACCACAGATTTTTAAAAATGCCATGTCTGCTCCAATGCTAGTTGACATTATTAGGTGTATTGCCACTTTTTTCACGTAAGTAGATCAGTTCTCTTCTGATAATTTTGTCTTGAATATATCAACTCCTGTTAGATCAATTGCAAAAGGTACTCATGGTTTTATATATGTATATATATAATTTTTTTTTTTTTGCAGTGAAGAAATGGATCTGGCTGTCAAATATTTAGAAAACTTAGCCAAGGTGTCGAGATTTGACACGATCATGATGTGTCTTTCATCTACAGACAGAGCTGGTATGTTTTTATTAAATAATCTTTGTACTTTTAAAAGCTGTAACATTTATGTATTTGTATAGCGTCTATATTTTATATTTTGTACAAATCATCTATATTATTATACAAGTAAATGAAATGTTTGCCTGACAATGCCGTTGGCTTTCCATTGTAATCATGTTTGAAATTTGTAGTGGCAAGTCTGTAAGCTATACAATATTGATGGAATAGTATGGAAAACCATCTAAGACTGATTGTGAGTGCTACAAGATGATCATGGTTCTGGATGGGCTCTTCAATGATGTAAAATGGACACAGGATACACCCTCCTTCAAGTAGTGAGCCCAAAATTAATATGATGCAGCAGCAAACGACTCTTGTTTTAGGGATGACTTTAGTCGGTTTATAGAGCCTAGAAAAGGTACTAAAATGTGAAGATTTTAGGGTTTTGATAGGGGTAGGATTTCATTAGTTTAATGACGGAAGAAGAGAGCGTTTGGACACTGTTTTGGGGCTGTGAACAGTAACTGCAGTTTGTGTCTTCCTCTAGGCACTAGGGTTCAATAGTTGTTAGCAAGGGATTGAGGTTGTGAAATAGGACTTCTAGGGTTAGGTGTAAGGTTAAAACAAATTTGTTTATAGGCTAAAGTGAAGGACAAATAAAGTTAATTAAGAGGAGGATAAAATTTTAGGCATCATGCTTAGAACCTGAAAAGCATCAAATACCTAGGGTTAGAATTGCATCATGTAATCACAATGGAGCTTAAGTAGAAGATTACATGGCTTTGTCTAAACTATAAACTTAAATCTCCCAACTCTAGTATTACTTCAAATTACATTTTAGAAACCAAGACTTTTGACTTCCAAAACCTATATAGAACCAACTAAAAGGCAAATTTGGAGACCAGTAAACTTTGACTTGTGTAAAATTAACTAAAAGACGAAGCATAATTTGACCAGTAATATGACCCATGGATGACCCCTATGGCCCAATGTCCAAAAATTTTGAAATTATCAACAGACTGCTGGCCTATAAAAATAAAAGTCACATAGAAAACCAACCAGAGCAATACATATCCTAAATATCATAAAATAAGACTAAAGCCGGAAAACTTTATATACATGGTTCCAATTGATCTTAGGTATGTTTCTTTTGAAACAAACCAAATTCTGAACTTAGCCGCTGCTTTAGTTTTGTTTTTCTTGCTTGTCTTATGGACTGCACGTTTCAATCATCAAAGAAAAGTAGCAAAAGAATTCATACTGTTGCAGGCATGGTGTCATTTACCTCAGGCAGTAATAAATCTAATACTTGAGCTTGGTTAAATGCAACCATCTATACTGAATTCTACTCTTGGAATATAAAAGTGAAGAGGCCAGGGTTGTTATTCATTTAACAAAGCGAGTCAAATGCGACATATGGTGAGAAGTTTGAAAATATATATATACATACAAGCATCGTAAAAAGTTGCAGCTCAATATCTTCGTTATGGCGTCATATCTAGCTAGATGGTTTTAAGTTTCTTACCAATTGTTTAAGGAAAAAAATGTAATTAAACAAGAAGAATAGTCGTCCTCAGCTCTCTCTCTATAAATATATATATGTATATGTGTGTGTGTACTATTATATAAAATAAACAATCATTTGGTGTCGCCCATGAGGTTTTCACATGCCTAAATTATCCTCCCAATCAAACAAAAATAACCATTCTTTTTATATTATTTTGGTTTGACCAATAAAACAATAAAATTACACGGGGCCATTTCATCTCATTTTTAAATCCCAGTTCATACACAATCTTTAACAATTTCTCAACAACCCATTATATTCGGGTAGAAATTTAAAACAGTTCCAAGTTCATGTTTCCAAATACCAGTCACCCTACTTAAAATAACCACCCACTTCTTCATATTCTCCATAAAATCAATAACATAATTTTAACATAGATTGCACATGCTCTAGTATGTATATATATATACAGATATATGTGGGGTTGTGGCAATCCGCATACTGTGGAGAAAAAAAGAAACTAGTTGAATTGACTTGGTTTTTTTATTCAAACAGATCTCCACAGGATATGGGATGATGTATTTTGCAACAATGCAACTCCAATGGAGTATGCGGAGAGGCTTGATAATCTGCGCTCCAGCTACTGCCCCAAACAATGATGTTATTGGATACGGGATTTTGGTAAGATGTCCCAAACAATCTGAGTGTTTTGTCTAATCTGTATTTCATTGTATATCAGTTAAAACATGAAACCCTGACACTGCTCTACCAGTTTTGGTCGCTGAACTTTTAAGTGCGACAGCTTTAAACTGTTTGTTGGGAAGTTATAGAAGATCCTAGTTCATTTATTATATTTAACTCGTACATTTGATTGTGCTCAAACAAATATACCCGTGTGGGATGTTTATGGTGGGATTCATTTGGAGGGAAAAAAGGGAAAATAATGTGGTTTGCTTGAGCTTGATGTAATTGTTTGATCGCTAGAGGTGCAGCGATGGTGGTGTTACTCTTTACTCCCTAACTCTTTCATTGTTGAAACTTTTGAAAACTTCACGTAAAGTGAGTATGTTTTCTATGATTCAAGCCATTAAGACGGGAAAATTAGTAATCAGTGTATGTTTTCAAAAATATTTACAAATCAGTCGTAAAATTTATAAATATTAATAATTAAATTTATGAACTTTTTCACTAATCTATAAATATTTTGGAAACATAGACCACTGATATGTAATTTTCCCGTAAGACAATTGGCCATATTTGATTTATTTCATTGTTTTGTTTGAGTAATTTGATTGTTCTTTGTTTTATTGGCTGTGATTATCTGAGTATTGAAGTTAAACTTTTTCCATGCTGATATATGTTGAATTATTTGAACATTGTTGAACTTTATTTTAAAGAGGTATGATAGTAGTGCTTTAGTTTGACTTGTGCATAGATTGTGAAAACATATCAAGTTACTCGAGATTGGTTTATAACAAATCAAGTTTGAACACATACGAGAATTTGTTAACCATTTTGGACCTGGTTTGAAAGTCCTATACTGTATACTATATGCACACTCCCATTTATATATATATATATGTATAATTAAACTATTTGAGCTTGAAATAATTATTATTATTTTTTTTTTTTTTATATTGGCTTATTAAGGAAATCAAATTTGAACATATTTTTAAAAATTATTAAGTTTCAAGTTAAGTTTAAACAATCCATTATTGGACTCTTTTTTAAATTTTTTCATTTGTTTTTGATCTAAACTATAAACTTATTTTTATCAAGTAAAATTGACCCAAAAATTGATATTTTAGTCATTAAACTTAATATAGGTGTATATAAAATATCTAAAATATCATTTTTTGGTATTTTAGTAACTTCTTTTTTTTTTTTCAACAGTTGGTTTAAGAAAACGTTATGGATCTCAAATAAATTGTTAAATTTTTTACTAAACCTCTTATATGGGTGTGGGACTCACACACATGATTTGTATGAGTCTCACATTCATGTGAGAGGTTTGGTAAAAAATTTAGTAATTTAATTGGGGGCCCTAGCATAACTCGTTGGTTTATGTTTTAGATTGAAAACAAAAAGAAAAATTAATTTAAATTTAAAAATTTATTTTGTTACAAAGTTAAAATTGAATTTTTATTTTTATATTTTTTTTGTAATTTTTCCATTTTTTTCCCATTTGTTGATTTATGTTTTTATGCTACATGGCTGTCAACAAGTTATTTTTTATCTAATTTTTAATAGAAATTAGCTTTAGGAGTAAAGTAAGAAAATTTTGAAATATGAAAAGGTTAAAGTGAAAAAAAAAAAAAAAAAAAAAAAAAGGACCAAAAAAAAAATTATAAGGATCAAAAGTGACTAAAACATAACTAAAGAAAAGTGTAACATATAAGAACGTCTCTACTATGGGTAATACTATGGAAGAAATAGTCAAATCATATACCCACCTCTGAATTGAGAGTATACAATAATAGCTAAGAGCATTTACAGTGGAGTTGTTAAAATATATGTTAGTGTCAGTTATTATTTTTTAGCTAGTCATTTTTTGTTTTTGTTCTCATAATAGAACTGTTAGTAGGTGTGTTAAATTTGGTCTTACTGGTTGACCGGCCGGACGTTCGGCCGGTTGATCGGTCAACGGCAAATTTTTTTTTTTATTTATTTTTTTGGAACTTGTTGGGATTTTTTTTTTTGGATTTGAAATTTAATTTTGGGCTTGAAATTTTTTAATAAACTAAATTATTTATTTATTTTATTTATTATATACACATATATATATATTTAACACACGCCTTAACATACCCCTTAACACATCCATTGTACCACCATTCATTTACTATTCACTCACTAAATTAAAAAACTCTTAACACATATTGTTGGGTCTCACTTTTAACACTTTTTGTCATATAACACATACTTTAACACACAATTTTAACACGTCCATTGTGAATGCCCTAACTAAGCTATTCCGATTAGTTAACAGTTTTCAATATTTTGTCCATCAGTTTCTATACAAAATGTGTTGATAGTATTTTTTTCTTCACACAAACAAGACAATAAGTTCGTTAAAAAATTTGCAGAAAAAAAATCTGTGAAATTTAAATGCTAAAATATAGTCTAAATGCTTGAATTGAGGATGAAATAGAATAGCATTTAGAAATTTTGATTAATAAGTTAATAAATGTATTTACTATTTAGTAGAAATAAATTTTTCTACAATACTACACCATGTGATTTCTTCTATAAATTGCAATGCAACTCATTTGTTTGATGTCATGTAAGAACTATACTGAAATGTATATTTAATTACATAATTGCATCCTAAAAATTTATAAATTTTTTAAAGAATCAATTTTTTTTTTGCGGTGAACAACTCTTGACACTACTTTAGCCTTATTTCCAAGGTCAAATGCACAAAGCAAAGTGTATAGACCTACTTGAATAGTAGAAATCAATTGAATTTTCTGAAGGTCTAAGGTCTTTGTCTTCTTTTTATAGCCAGTTTTGGACTATTTAAGCTAATGTACGATTCTGCCTCATGTGCTCAGTTTGAGTTGTTCAACACATAATCCCAAACCTCCTTATTAATCTTAAGGGAAATATCACATCAGTGGAGTATAGAAAACATGATTAGAAATTAAAGAAAAATTTTATAAATATTAATAATTAAACTTTTTCATAAATTTATATTTTATTTTTAATAGCCCCTTGATCTTAAACCATGCTCAGCCCAGAATCTAGGCCTTACATGCTAGGCCCAATTAGGTTTTTTTTTTTTTTTTTTTTTTTTTTTTTTTTGACTCTTCCCAATTAGGTTGATTATAATTCAATTTCACACTTAGGTCTCGTTTTAGAAAGGCAAAAAAATAAAAATCAATTCATTAATTTATTGATTTCTTTAAATCATATTATTTCTTTATTATTTTACTCATTTTTTTATAATAAATTAATAAGCAAAAAAAATCACTTTCTAAAATAAGCCTATATTTTGTATTAAATTTATTATTTTATATGTTTTATATGTTTCTAATTTTCGTAACACTTGTAAAGTTAATTATTAGCTTTTTGCATAATGATAGAGAACTCTAATACTAGAACTCTAACATGAGCTCTACTGAGATGTCAAGCCAAAAAAAAAGTCAAACATCACATCATTATGTGAAACTCACCATTAGAGTTTCCAAACACTATTGTAACTTTATATAGTATAAGGCCTATTTTAAGAAGTGAGTTAAAAGCCACTTCTCAACTTTTAACCCACTTCCATGGGAAATTCTATTTTCACATACCAAATTATCTATCTGTAAGTCTTTTTTCAATCCACATATTTAGTAATTTGATTTTTACTTCTTTATCTCAGTCCACACACTTCATATTCCAAATATACCCTCACCTTTCTCTGTGCACATCCTCTCCTTCCATCATTTCTCACTCTAAAAATCTTAACCCTAACTATACCAGCTATCGGTGACGGCGGCATCAACAACAACATCAACCACCGCCCCTTTCCAGTCTCTCAGCCATTCTCACACAGCCCCTCACGCTGCCATTGTTGCAATTGGAACAAGGGATGCCTTAGAGCAAAAGTCTGTTGGGAGGTATTCTTAATCAAAGCCAGTAAACAACTTTCCTCCTGCCAAATCCCATGTGTCTCTAACAACAGGTGATATGTTGCTGATAATTTTGAGAATGCTGCATTTATCATCAAATCTTGTGTCTTTTCCCGTCTTTCCTTCTCTTGTTACAATTCAGGAAAAATAAAACTAGTTCTGCCTTTGTTGCACATTTTTTGGGCTATACACTATTATATACAACTTAGTAAAAGACAGGGAAAATAAAAGAAAATGAGAGCAGAAAAAGATCGATAAAATACAAACAAATCAATCATCAAAACCATCAATGAACACGAAAGAGATGCAAAAGAATGTAATTAAGAATAATAATGTTTCAAAGATCGTTGCCAAACAATAGCCAAGATACCGACCACCTGTAAGAAACAGTCCAAGTAAGTGTTGTTTGGTGACATGGAGGTGGGTGAGATATGTATGAAGAAATTGTAAGATGTGTGGGTCAGATGGTGGTGGGTGAAATGGTAATTTTGTTAAAGGATAAAATTGTGATTATAAAAAAATTTAGGGGTGTTTGGGGTGTCCTAAATAAGTGTACTTTTTATCTTTTTTTGACTAAAAAATTGAAGAAAAAAATATGGATGTTTCGGTTAACTTTTTGACTTTTTATGAAAAAATATATATTAAAAAATTATATAAATTAATGTGTAGGGGAAAATTAAGATTGAGAGTTGTGCCGCCGTAATTTTTTACTTTTGGTGAATAGTGATAACTTTTTGACTTTTTGAGTAACTTTTTAACTTTTTTTCAACTTGCCAAACTTGACCTTATTAAGTATGTGGAGTAAGAAAACTTAGGGTTGGTTTGGGGTGTCTTAAAAAAGTATACTTTTTGTCTTTTTACGAAAAGATGTGCAGAAAAATAGAGAGGTAATGTGATGAAAAAAAGATAAAAAAATAAAAAGATAGATTATATAATTCATGCCAAACCAACCCTTAATATACGAAAATAAAATTTTTCCACTTCTATCTCTCAAAAAAAATAAAAAAATATTAAAAAGTAATTTTTAACTATCGTCCCAAACCCTCTAAATTGTTTTCAATCAAAATCAAGTGGGTCCTTCGCCATCAATACTTGCAACTTATCCAACAACCTATCATTAATAATTATTATATTGTGCTCCGCGGTTGGGGGTTTGCCGTTACTATCAATATAAAGAGCTTTCCTGGGCTCAAGGGTTTTAAAGATGCTTGCAATTAGGGGTGTTTTGACCTGTTCAAAAAAATAAATAAAATTTAAGAGTATTTTGAAACGGTAGTTAAAAATTATTTTTTAATTTTTTTAATTTTTTTTTTGAGAGAGAGAAGTAGGTTAAAAATTGAGAAGTGATTTTTAACTTACTTTTCAAAATAGCCCTTAGTATCCATCTATTATTTTGT